CAAGTAGGAGAGCACTAGCCATTAGCATAGATGCTTAAGGATAGCACCCAGGCCTTAAGCTCACATCCCACATGCACACACACACACACACACACACACACACACACACACACACAGTAATAAAATTAAATAAAAAGTGGAAGTTGAGAAAGTTTGAGTACTGGGATGAATCCCAGGGGCTTGTGCATGCTAGCAAACATTCTACCTCTTGAGTCCCACCTCTAACCTGAAACTCTTTTTGCTTTTGGGTGGTGCTGGGATTTGAATTCAGAGCCTTGTGCTTGCTAGGCAGATATTCTTACTACTTGATCTATACCCACTAACATTTTAGTGACACCTCCTCTCGTCACTTAAGCCACATCTCCAGTGGTTTTTGGCTTTAGTTATTTTTCAGATAGATTCCTGTGGCTTTTGTCCAGGGTCAGCGTGGGTCAGTGATCTTCCTACCTAAGGCTTCCTACATAGACAGCTGGTATGACAGGAAAGCCCCGCACCTGCCTTATAGATTAAAATGTGGTCTCACTACCTTTTTGCCTGGACTGGCCTTGAACAACAATCCTCCTGATCTCCACCACCTCCTGAATAGTTAGATGCTAAGATGACATGTATGAGCCACCATGCTTGGACTTTTTTTCCCCACATAGGTAGGTTCTAACTCTATATAGCCTAGGTTAATCTGGAATTTATGATTCTCTTGCTTCAGGTTCCAGAGTGCTGGGGTTACAGGTATGGTCCCATGCTTGGAGAGATATGTAAATTATATGTATATGTGTGTGTATATATATACATATATATAATATATATATGGGTTTTTTTTTTGCTGGTACTTGAGTTTGAATTTAGGACTAGAACTCACTCAGCTGGTGTTCTACCACTCAAGCCACACCTCTGGCACAACATTTTGCTGCTTTTTGTGTGTGTTTTGTTTTTGTTTTTGTTTTGGTGCCAGTCCTGCGCTTGAACTCAGGACTTACATGCTGTCCCTGAGTTTCTTTTGCTCAAGGCTAGTGTTCTACTACTTTGAGCCACAGCTGCACTTCCATTTTTTCCTGTGATTAATTGGAGATGAGTCTCATAGATTTTTCAGCCAGGGCTGGCTTTGAATTGTGATCCTCAGATCTCAGCGTTCTGAGTAGCTAGGATTAGAGGCATGAGGGACCAGCACCCAGCTGATTATTTTTGGAAATAGATTCTCCCAGACTTCTCTGCCTGGGCTGATTTTGAACTTGGATCCTCGAGCTCTCAGTCTCCTAAGTAACTAGGATTATAGGTATGTACCACCTGTACTTGGTTCTGGCTACATTTTTTTTTTTTGTTGGTCGTGGGGCTTGAACTCTGGGCCTGGGCGCTGTCCCTCAGCTCTTCAGCTCAAGGCGAGTGCTCTACCACTTGAGCTACAGCGCCACTTCCGGTTTTCTGGTGGTTTATTGGAGATAGGAGTCTCACGGTCTCTCCTGCCCGGGCTGGCTTTGAACCGCGATCCTCAGATCTCAGCCTCCTGAGTAGCTAGGATTACAGGCGTGAGCCACCAGCGCCCGGCTCTGGCTACATTTTTTTAACACTGAGGAAATGGAAACCCACAAGCCTTTCCCTCGTTATTCCAAGGACTTATTGTTCCTGAGTCTCTTTTGCAATACTGGACTGAGAACTCCCCACAATGAACATAAACAGGCTCTTGGTGTTCCTAGCTAGTAACTGTAATCATTGTTATGATTTTATTACAGCTGCCAGTAGTCCCTAGAGGAGCCTTCATGTTTACAGTGTAGCTACAAGTGATTCTGAAACACAGCTCAAGTATCCAGCAGGCCTCAAGGATTCCCACAAATGACACAGAAGAAAATGCAGCCACTGTTACTTTCCATACAAACCAATGAGTTGCTGAGCTAAAAGAGAGAAAATTCCCACCATTAATTCCAGCAGGAGGTAGGGTAAAGGTGGAAGCAATCCTCAGGAGATAATGGCTAGGGCTGGCCACAGATGGTTCATGCCTGTAATTCTAGGTCATCAGCAGCTTGAGACCCATAGTTCAAGACCAACCTGGGCAGAAAAGTCCAAGAGACTCCATCTCCAAAAAATCAGCATCAGGGGTGCATGTTGGGGGAAGACTGGCTACACTGGCAACATTGCAAAAGCCCAGGGACAGGAAAATATGAACAAGTCCCTATATAAGGCAAGAGATGGAGGTGCTGAGCGCAGCCCTACACTGTACAGAAAGCGGAGAAGGGAATTTTTATCCTTAAGAGGAGGGTTTTGAAGGATTCTGGGTAATGTAAAATGTTGAGAAAGGCCAGGTTAGGGTCTCTTCATGCCAGCTGCAGTTGCTCTTAGGGTCCCAGAGAACGTTTTTGGCGTGGAGGGGGCGAGGGAGGGTCCTGGGGCTTTGAACTCGGGGTCTGGACACTGCTGTCCTTGAGCTTTTTTTTCTTTTGCTCAAGCAGGTGTCTTGAGCCGCAGCGCCCCCTCGCGGCCATCGCCCCAACTGCACTAGCAGATGCTCCCCCAGGCGCTGCGGTGGAAATGGAAACCTGAGAACCGGCCTCCCCCCACACACTCACACCCGCTCTGTCGTCATCGCTGCAGCCGTGAATCTGGGACACATCGTCTGTCTCCGGGGTCTCTGCCGACCCTGTTTTTTTCCCCGGATTCTCAAAAAGATGGGTGACCTCAAAATCAGGAAAAGTCCTCCCAGCCCGGCTCGCTACTTCTGAGCCGGGCCACCGGGGGGCGCTGTGCCCGTTCTTCCACACACACACACCCATCCTCCCCCAAAGACCCCACCCATCTGGAACCCCACCCGTCCCGGGCTCTGCTTCCTTCTCTACCTGTCATTCCCCATCTCCAGAGCAGCTCTCCACACACCTGCAAGTGGCACTCACATTGGTTTTTTGTTTGTTTTAATTCCAATGCTGGGGATGGAAACCAGGGTGTCTGGCTTGCTAAGCAACAGCTTAACCACTGAGCTACACCCCCAGCTGGGTGCTCATTGCTTGCTGCTGGTCAGTACCCTTCCATGTGGTCCCCCTAACTGTCCTCCCTCTCTTTCTCTCTAAGACTTGAACTCAGGGCCCAGCACTTCATCTCAGCCAAGTACTATTGGCTACATCCTGTCCCCGGATATCTCAATATAACAGGATTTAGAGACAAGGTCTTTAAAGCAAAACTAAGTCACTAATCTGACCAGTAGTCTTCTGAGAAGGGCCAGGTGAGGTGGTGTATACCAGTAAGCCCAGCCACTCAAACGTCACAGATCAGCCAGGCACCTGTGGCTCATGCCTGTAAATCCTAGCTTCTCAGGAGGCTGAAATCTGAAGATTGTGACTCAAAGCCAGCCCAGTGAGACTCTTATCTCCAATAAGCTCAGAAAAAGCCAAAAATTGTGCTGTAACTCAAGTGGCAGAGCTACCCCACCCCCCCCCCCAAAAAAATCTAAGACTGTACCTGAAAGATAACTAAAGTTTAAAAGGGCTGGGGAGGGGCTGGGAAGGTGGCTCAGTGGTAGAGCGCTTGCCTTGTATGCATGAGGCCCTGGGTTCGATTCCTCAGCACCACATAAGCAGGGGAAAAAAAGCCGGAAGTGGCTCTGTGGCTCAAGTGGTTAGAGCGCTAGCCTTGAGCTGAAGAGCTGAGGGACAGTGCCCAGGCCCAGAGTTCAGGCCCCACGACCGGACCCCCCCCCCCAAAAAAAAGGGCTGGGGAGATGGGCACTAGCTCATGCCTGTAATCCTAGCTACTTAGGAGGCTGAGATCTGAGGATCGTGGTTTAAGGCCAGCCCAGGCAGGTAAGTCTGTCTGTGAGACTACTCAGAAAAGGACAAAAGTGGTCCTGTGGTTCAAGTAGAGTGCTAGCCTTGAGCAGAAGCAGCTCAGAGACAGCAACCAGGACCAGAGTTCAAGCCCCAGGACTGGCAAAAAAAAAAAAAAAAAAGTGGGGGGAGTTGCGGGTAGTGGAGTTCAAGTGGTAGAGCAGGCCCTGATTCACAGGTGTGAGGCCATGAGTTATAGCCAAAAGAAAAAAGAGGAGTTGGAAATTAGGACACAGGACTCTAGAAAGATGACCACAGAGAGAAGACAACCATCTATCTACAAGCCGAGGTGAAAGGTCAAGGCCTTGCTCTCAGATTTACTACCACTGGAGCTGAGGAACCTTCCTACTGCTTTCTGTTAGGAACAGCCCTCGTCTCCCCCTTCTTCTTCTTGAAAGACAGCACCTAGCCTTACCAGAAATCACCTGGTAGAAAACCAGTAATGACCTACAACTGTCAATCACCTGACTGTGAGTCAGCAGAAGGATCCCAGGCTCTGAAGTTACTTCGCCCTCTGCTGTGGCCACACCTCCTCGCCTTCCATGCTATATGCTATGTGCTACGCTCTGCAGCTCTGAACACCTACACGGGGTGCCGGCTGGAGGTTTGATTCTCCCAGTAAACTCTCTTCTGACTGAACCACGTGGTGGTCTCCTTTTGGCAACCCTTCCATTTATGTGAAGCTACCCAATCTGTGGTTAAACAGCCTGAGCAAACAGATACACCCACTAAAGTCTCTGATAAGCCCTGCAATCGCGAGCCCCAGGAACACCTGGGGTGGGGAAGACAATGGACAGATGTGCTCCGTGTCTGCCCTCATTTGACAGCAGGTTCTGAACCCTTGAAGCTGGGCACACCCTCAGCCTTGTTTGGCTTCAGAAGCCACTGGGACAGTTTATTGAGGGGAGGGGAGGAAGGAACCCCCACACAAGCATATTCTAATATGCTAATAATACTGAATAGCCAAAAGATGCCCAGATTTTGGATAGGGCCCCAGCAAGGGGACCAGTATAACTTAGAGGCAATATTCAAGCTAACACCCAGGTTCTTAACCTGGTTACCACATAGGGGAAGAGGCCCTTGGGAGTCAAGAGAAGACTTAGTAGGACAATAGTGGGTGGGGGGGGCTGGGGCCCAGAGCTGGCCCAGCACAGCTCCAAGGGGCTCTCTTGAAAAAGACAGTAAAGTAGGCAGTGCTTGTTAACAGACAGAAGGGAGCATTTATTTCTCTGGAGAGGGGAGGTAGAGGCAGAGGCAGGGGGCACGGTCAAGGCAGGGAAATATCCTCCAGCTTCTGGTCCAGCGTCTTGAGGTCATCCAGGAAGCGGGTAGGGGTGAGGATGTGCGAGGAGCCTGGGCAGGAGGGGAAGACTATAGACTTCGGGGTGCTACCTTGGCCCCTGGGGGCCAGGATCCTGACCAATAAGGGGCCTGTCCCTGCCCCCTCCTCAAACCAGGCCCCTGATTTTTCTAAGGATTCCAGAATCTAGAAACTTAGGAACATGGTATCCAGCCCCGACCCACCTAAGGTGGCCCCTTCTCTTAGAACTCAAGCCCCAGCCTCTCAGGGACCTCAAAAAAGTGTAGCCTTGGCCAGGTACCGATGGCTCACACCTGTAATCCTAGCTACTCAGGAGGCTGAGATGTGAAGATTGTGGTTCAAAGCCAGCCCAGGCAGGAAAGTACAGGAGACTCTTATCTCCAATGAACCACCAGAAAACCAGAAGTGGTGCTGTGGCTCAAGTGGTAGAACACCAGCCTTGAGCTAAAGTGCTTAGGGACAGCACCCCAGCCTGGAGTTCAAACCCCAAGACCCAAAAAAAAAAAAAAAAAAAAAAAGTCAAGCCTTGGCTCCTAAAAGACCAAGAAGTCCAGCTCCAGTCCCTCAGATACCCCCAGAGTCTAACCCTCACCCCTCTCAGATGCTCCCAAATCTAGCCTCAGTCCCTCGGATACCCCCAAGTCCAGCCCCAGCTCATGGGCCCCCCACCCCAGGGTCTGGCTACTTACCAATAAGCACCTCCCATTTGCCCTCGGTGGCCCGGGTCACCTCGTAAGCAGCCCTCATCTCTGACATGGCCACGCCACCCACAATGTACACAATGAGCCTTGGCCCTGCCCGAGCCTCAACACCCGCCTTGTTCTTGTGCCAGTGGCCGAAGCGGGCACTGTGGGGGACAGAGGACAAAGGTCAGCCCAGGCTGGAGACATCAGCATGTCCTCCTGACTCCCCCAACAAGGGCCTCTCTCTCAGCTCACCTGACTGCAGCCTGGGAGCTGGGAGTGGGGGTGGGGTCAGACACAAAGGGCCACAGCTTCCGGTCCAGCCTGTCCTCCACAGCATCCTGGGTGGCCAGAAGGGGGGAGTTTAGGGGAGGAGCTTTAGACAGCAGGGCTCAGGGACTGGGGTGTTCAGAAGCTGTGATCCTGGCAAGGAGGAGCTTCTATCTCTACCTTCCGCCCCTTGGGGAACCCAGAGTCCTGACATCCAAAGCCCATGGTGAAGGGGAGGCCAAGGTTGCTGGACCCCCAAGAAAGAGGCACTAGGACCCTACAAGGACAGGCCAAAGCCAGGCCCTTGTCATGGCACTATTTGCTAGAAATGCTTTTGGGGAGGTCTCAGGATAGCCAGGAAGGGGGGGAGAGGGGGAGTTGGGGAGACTTCTGGAGAGAAAGGGAAGGAGAATTGAAGGAGGCTGAGATCCGAGGATCATGGTTCAAAGCCATCCCAGGCAGGAAAAGTCCATGAAACTCATCTCCAAGCAAAAAGCAAGAAGTGGTGCTGTGGCTCAAAGTGGCAGAATGCCAACCTCGAGCAAAAAAAAAGCAAAAAAAGCTCAGGGACAATGCCCAGGCCCTGAGATCAAGCCCCAGGACCAGTGTGCACACATGCACACATGTGTGTGCCCACGCACGTGCATGCACACACACACACACACACACACATAAAAATGTAGAGGCAGGGCTGGGAAGGTGGCTCAGTGGTAGAGCGCTTGCCTTGCATGCATGAGGCCCTGGGTTCCATTCCTCAGCACCACATAAGCAAAAAGAAAAAAAGCCAGAAGTGGCGCTGTGGCTCAAGTGGTAGAGCGCTAGCCTTGAGCTGAAGAGCTGAGGGACAGCACCCAGGCCCAGAGTTCAAGCCCCACAACCAGACCCAAAAAAAAAAAATGTAGAGGCACACGGAAGTTGTGGGCAGCAGCAGGTAGGAAGGTAAGCAAGATACTCCAGTAAGGGAGAATCCCTGTGCTGCCCTAATTCCTGGGGTGCAGGCGTAGGATACCCCTAGGCATATAAGGAATGCCAATAATGAGGGATTTTCCTCTAAGCCTCAGGCTTAGCGCTGTAAGCGGGCAGGAGGCTGAGGGACTGACTGGACCAGCAGGGGAATGGGGCCCCAGCCTCCCACTAGCCCCCCAAGTACCTCCATCACATCCTTGATGACCGGGGACCAGCGGGACAGCTGATAGGTGGGCTCAGTGCGTTCCCTCCGCTCCAGCCGGCTAGAGGTCCCCAGGCCCTACAAAGTGGGAGCATGCAGGGCCGGCGGGGGTGGGGGAAGGAGGAGAGTACTAGGTGGGGTGGGGGCCTTGTCTGGCTGGGGAGGAGGTGTAGCTAAAAGAAGTGAAGCAGAAAGAGACAGACAGACACACAGACAGAAACAAGTCGAAAAAGGAAGCAAAGAATGTGAGTGAGCCGGGTGCAGGTGGCTCATACCTGTCACCTTAGCTATTCAGGAGGCTGAGATCTGAGAATTGAGGTTCAAAGCCAGCCCATGCAGGAAAGTCCATGAGACTCTTTATCTCTGAACCTGGTGCTGGTGGCTCACACCTGTAATCCTAGCTACTCAGGAGGCTGAGATCTGAAAATTACAGTTCAAAGCCAACCCAGGCAGGAAAGTCTATGAGGTGCTTTTTTTTACAGACAGAGCTGAAGACTGAACTCAGGGCCTTGCGTTTGCCAGACAAGTGCTCTGCCACTGAGCTAAACCCCCAACTCCTCCATGAGATCCTTATCTCCAATAAACTTCCAAAAAGTCAGAAGTGGAGCTGTGGCTCAAGTGGTAGAGCACCAGCCTGGAGTGAAAAAGGTTCAAGGATACCACCCAGACCCTGAGTTCAAGCCCCAGAACAGATGCAAAAAAAAAAAAAAAGCAGAGAATGAGAAAGAGAAAGAGAAAAAGAAAGATTGAGAAGAAGAGAGACTTAGAAACAAAAGTAAAGAAATGGAGCAGAAAACAAGAGAGAGAAACAGACAAAGAGAGAAAGACAGAACCAGAGGTGGTAAAATAAAGCAGAGAATCAGAGAGAAAGAGACAGATAGATTGACTGACTGACTGACTGATGTAGAGTGAGCTAAATAAACAAGCAGAGAGAGGGAGAGATGAGGACAGACAGATGGGGAGACAGAAGGAACAGGGCAGGAAGAAACAGAGAGAACAGAAAGACAGGAGACAGAAGAAATACCCGGAGAAAACAAAGGGAGGCCAGGGCCAGGGCCAGGGCCAGGGCCAGGATTGGGAGCACACAGGTACCTACAGGCCCATGGTGGTGGCAGGGAGTGGGAGATGGGACATGTAGGGTCAGAGAGAGACAGGACAGGCTAAACCAAGAGCTGCACACAGGAAAGTTAGTATTGGGGGAGGGGGGTGGTGAGGGAGGGTAGGCTCATAAAAGCCAGCTGACCTTGAATCCTGCTAATGCTGGAGACCCTATCACCCACCCCTAGGGCTCAGACCCCGCTCTGAGCCATGGCCACATCTCCTTCCCGCTTGCCTGTTATGTTACCTAGCGACTGGGGATGCGGCCTCCCCCCGCCCCACACACACACAAGCTCACAGCAGCCTCCACCTACCCCAGCGTTGGTGACAGTGCCTCCCAGTTGCTCCAGGTTCCGGATGAGGCTGCTGTAGGCCTGCACGTTGGCATGCTGGATCAGCTTAGCCAGGTTTTCCTCGCTCACTCCTGGGGAAGGAGGAGGGGGGGGGGGGGCGCTGCAAAGTGGCCCTGTGGGACCCTGGGGTGGGAGAGCTGTGAGGTCACCCCAGACGCTGGATGGGGGTGACCTGCAGCTGTGATGTCCTCAGACTCAGGGGACTTCTAGAATTAGTATAAAAAGGGAATGTAACAGGCATCCCCAAGGGGAGTGGGGAAGTCCTCCAGATTTAACTGAGGGAACCCCAAGTTTATAGAGTTGGGAGTCTCCATGTCAAAGGGGCTATCTTGTTCATGGGAGGTCACCACAACCATGGGGGGGAATGGGGGGAGGGGAGGAGGGGGACGACAGAGTCCAGAGAAGGCATATGTGGGTTTGTGGGTTGCAAAGTCCCGCCAACATTGGTGGGTGACACCCACCGTTCCGCAGAAGGATGTAGAGCAGCAGGACCCTGATCTTGTCGTAGGGCGGCACCGCTGTGTCTAACAGCACAGGGACGATCAGCTTCATAGCGTCCTTGATCTTCTCGCCCTCCGCGTCGGAGCCCATGGCCAGATCCTGCAGGACATGAGGATCAGCAATCCAGCCGGATTTCAGAGGAGGAGGAAAGGGGTTAGGGGTGGCAGGGCAGGCCTTCCTAGGCCTTGGTCCCCAACGCCTCCTGGTCATGGTCTCCCAAGGCCTTGCCCACCTGTGTCAGGACCACCTCCCCACCAACCTCACCCTTATTCCCAGTCTTGCCTCTTTCCAAGGCCCCACCCACGGAAGGCTCTGGGTCCTAGTCTTCTCCAAGGTCCCGCCCCTCTGTAAAGATCCTCCCACCTCAAAGATAACTGTTCTGTAGGACCCACCCTTCTCTGAAGCCCCACCCTTCTCCAAGGACAGACTTCCTGCAAGTCCCGCCCCCTCCCTAAAGACCCGCCTATCTCCAAGGATGGACTTCCCATAGGCCTCACCCCCAGAAGCCCCACCCCTCTCCAAGGACAGACTTTCCATAGGTCCCGCCCCTCTCTGAAGCCACGCCTCTCCAGGAACACACTTCTGCAGGCCCCACCCCTACCTGCTCCACACTGCACAGCTTCTCCACTGAGCCCTTGAAGCGCTTCATGCAGTCATCTGCCAAATGCAGGTGCGTAGAGTACTGTGGGGTACGGGCCAGGAGGTGAGGGTAACAGACTTGTCAAGTCGGGGTACAGGTCGGAGAATGGGGCTGGGGGACGTTCCGGGTACCCAGCTCACCTTGTTCAGTTCCTTCTGATACTGGGGCATCTTCTTCAGAATGTGGGACAGATCTTTGATGTTAGCCTGGGGCAGGGGTGGGAGAGGCCAGGGGGAGGCGGTGAGCGCAGGCTGGTGTCTCTGCTGCTGGTTCAGGAGTCAGGCTGAGGGCCTCCCCTTCTTCTGCCCCTTACCTTATCCGTTGTCAGTCGCTTACTCTCACAGAACGTCTTCAGAAGCTCCGTGACCTTCCTAGCCATAAGCAGGGGACAGAGTGTGAAGGGGTTAGTCTGTAGATGGGAGGGGATGTCATGTGCTATGGAGGGGGGGGGGGGCAGAGGACACATATGGGTACCAGGTCATGAGGGGTGGAGCTGTGATTGGAGGCGGGCCAACAACCTGAAGGGGTGTGGCCTTTTGTAGGGGAGCAGCTTGTAAGTGGGTGTGGCTTGTGGGTGGATGGGGCTTGTGGGACACTCAAGGCCTGGGTGCAGCCAGGGATCCCATGCAGGTGAGGGGGCCAGGGGTATCCAGGTGGGCCCTGAACCACCAGAGCCCACCGAGTGCATGCACGCACTTGGATACGTCTGCAATGTGCATGTGCCGAAGCTCCACCCATAGGTCATCGTCCTCATCCAGCAGCACAGCCTTCTCCCGGGCCTCGCTCAGTCCTGTGGTCTCGTACCTGGAGGAGAAGCAGCAGTAGGGGACATGAAGGCACTAGCTGGGACCCAGGCGAGCAGCAGTGGGAGTGGAGGGCATACCCTGGGGGTCCACCCACTTGTATGTGTCCTGTTCTATGTTTAGCAGATCATAGGCCATGGCCTGGAATGTGAGTTCGTGCAGCAGCGGGGACACAGGGTCTGCTGCCCGGTCCACGATCAGCAGCTGTGACCGGGTCTTCTCAGGGCCCTAGACAGGAAGGGACAGAGCTAAGGATGCTGTCCCTAACTCTTTGGGGCCTCACCCTCTTCCCCAATGCCCCCCTCACCTCGCCCAGATTGGGAGTGTCTGCCTTGAAGGCATTTAGCTTGGCCAGGACAGCGTGGGCCAGCTGAGCCGTGTCCTCTGGACCCCTGGAGAGGCACAATCAGACATAAGGGACGTCAGGGTGTGGGGGGCTGAGAGGACTGGGCACCCACTGCAGAAAGGGGAGTCAAGAGTGAGGCTGAGGATGGGAACCGGGGCCCAAGGTCAGAGGTCAGGGGCTGGGGTCAGCAGCAAGAGTAAAGACTGGCTGTAGGCTGGGGTGAAGTTCAAGATAGGTAGCTTTAGGGTTAGGCTGGGTCCCCACTTGCGGTAGCGGATGGCTGGGTACTCCTGCAGAGTAGCACACAGTGTAGCTATCTGCTGGGCCAGTGCCTCAAGCTGCCGTGTCCTCTCCCCTGCCCGGAAGGGACAGTAGAGATTGTAGGTGCTGTGTGGAGCATCCAGAGAGAACACCTGGGGACAGAAGTGACAGGGGTCACCACTCTAGGCGCACAGCTCAACCTCTAGTCATTAACTCCACCTCCTCTCCCCAGAGCTCCATGCTGCCCCCCTGTGGCTCCCAGAGGGAAGGAATGCCAATTGCCCTGAGTGGCAAAGGCTTGTAACTTTGGCTGATTTCCCAGTTGGCACTAGGTTTCAGGGTCTGTTTCTCAGGGAGTTTGGGCTATTTATTTCAAGACTGTACCTGGGCCTCGTAGGGCAAGAAGGCAAGGTGGATTTCTTTCAGGGTCTTCACTACTTTTGCCAGACGAGAGCGGCCCAACTCACTGAATAAGGGCTCGGGGCAGGCTGCAGAGTGGCCAGAAAAGGCCATCAGGTCAAAGCCATCCCCTCCACACACACACACACACACACACACACACACACACACACCCTACCCCTCCACACACACACACACACACACACACACACACACACACACACACACACACACACACACACACACACACACACACACACACACACACACACACACACACACACACACACACCCTACCCACTACCCCCACACTCTCCTCACTCACTGTCAGTGAAGAAGATATGTGCTGCTTTGTAGGTGAAGGTAGGAGTCCCCCGGAAATCTGCAATCAAGGCCTGGACCGACTGGGGGGTTGGGGGGGGAATACAGATTGTTTGCTGTGTCTGATTCTACACTTCAACACTCCCCCCATCCTGTGCTTGGGCACCCCTTCCCCACAGCCACTGCCCACCTCCCACTATGTGTAAAGACATATCACACATACATGCTGCCCAGTCTACAGGCATGCACAGACAGACAGACAGACACACATACACACAGACACATACACACAGACACACACTCATGGCAACAGTCACCTTCTCCGTGGGGCTCAGCAGATAAATGGCCTCCAGGCTGGGAATGGGCTCTCGTCGCTTGTTAATGTCTTCAACAACTAGTAGCAACAGAGGGAGGGGTACACCTGGGTGATGTAAGGGGACTCCCAGATTTGGGGAACTGGATGTTTTGGAGAGAAGGGTGAAGTCCCTAAGCTGGAGAAACACATCTAGGAGTGATCTATCTAAGAGCTACAGTCAGGATTCTGAAATTTTGGAGTCACCTATTGTGTGTGTGTGTGGAGGGGGGGGGCCCCCACACTCTGAATCTACCCTGGGCCTACTACATACATACAGGTATATACAGTCAGTGAGTCCTTCATGGGGTACTGTGGGCTCCCCTTGTTCAGCCTGTACATTTGGGCCTTGACCTGGTCACGTACCCTGGGATATATCTATGTGGAGAACTGTACAGTTATGAAAATTTGAGGGGATCCTACATGTTTCATCTGAGGAGCACAGTAGAGGAGTTAGGGGGCTATCTACTCACTGGTGATGCCCTCCGCCAAGATGTCCGACATCTTACAGCAAGATGACAAGATGCGCATGCTTGGATGGTCCATAATGAGTACCTGTCCAGAGGGATGGACATATGAACCAATCAATGGACAGGAATAGCAGAGATTGTGGGCGGGACTCAGTTCCATGAGCACCCAGGAGCCACTCACCCAACTCCACCCTTGCACCAACATGGAACTCATGGAAGGGGTCCTACATTCAGGGACCCCAAGATGACCCATGTATTCTGCCTCTCCCCTACCTTCCATTCTGAATCCTTTTTGACGCTCCGAATGACCCCACTCAGAATTTCTACAGTGAAGGAGGAAAAGGATCAAATGAAGGCTCTCTGGTCCCATCATGCATGCTGGGGGGAAGGGGGGCGCGCTGCAGATCCCCATCTTAACTAGATTATACTCCTTCCTAACCACACTCCTGAGAGTGTAGCTCTTGACATCACCCCCAGTTTACAGACAGGGAAACCGAGGTTCTGAGCGAACAGGCAACTTGCCTAAGTTCTTGATCAGTGGAAGAAGGGAAAGCTAGGCAGGTTTAACTGCCTCTCCTCCTAGGATCTCAAGGTTTCCCACTGTGGGACAGTCAGCAAGATCCTGCACACACACACATACACACACACACACACATCTATTCAGCAAGATCCTGCACACACACACATCTATTAGACCCCAAAATACTAGAATGAGGGTCCCTTGGTTCCTTCCCAGCTCTGAAGCCTGCTTGCTCATCTATCTCCAACCCACAGTTTCCTCATCTGTAAACTGGAATCATTTGTTAGTTCTAATGTAAGACAGGGGAGGGCCTCTTTTTTTGAGTTGGGGTTCTGCACCACAATCTTCTCTGCCTCTTCTCTGTCCAGAGGAAAGAGCAGGGGGAAGAGACAGGAGAACTTCGCCACTGGACTGGTCAGACTGTCAAGTTACCCTGTTATCTGGACAAGCAGGGCGGAAGGAGCAGCCGAGGCCGGAACAACCCCGGGTGAGGGGAGGGGCGTCTCCCCCCTCTCCCAAAACCTGGGCCTTCGGGTCGGTCGCTAGGGTGGGGGGGAGGGGAATCTTAAAGATGGTGCAGGAGGGAGTTGCTTCCTGCAAAGGCCCCGGTGGCCACCTGCGCGCCACACCGCCTGGGGCCGCTGACAGAGCACCGTGGGGCCCCGGGAGTCCAGCCCCGAACTTTGCTCTGCTCAGAAACTCAAGAATCGGGGGATGCGATGGGGTGGAGGAAATCCAGTTATGCCTTTCTCCTGCAGGCACCCGATAAGATCCAGGGTTCTGGGCTTGAACCCTGGACACCCTGGAGCCCAGCCGGTCAACTTCGTTCAGCTGGGGCCAACTTTGCTCAGCTGGGGCCGGAGCCGAGCTGATACCAAGTCCCCGCCCGCCCTCTCGGAGATCAGGTGCTCAGGCGCCCAGCCCGGACTCCGACTTCCCGCCGTCCTGAACTCCCCAGAATCCGGAGCTCCCGGATCTCTGACCCCCACCCTCACCCCAGGGGACCCCACCCCGGGGAAGCACTCACTTTCCCCCACCACCGCCTTCAGCCCCGAGGGCGCCATCTTCCCCCAAGGAGCGCCGCCGCAGCTTCCGGGTCTGGCCCAAGGTGGGGGCGTGGCCCTCGCGTCATCCACGTGGGCCACGCCCTTGCGTGTGGCCACGCCCTCTTCTCACCTGGCCACGCCCCTCGGCCAGTTCTTGCAGGGAAGCCTCAGCCAGTGGCGTGCAGCGCAGGGGCGGACGCGCTCCTAGTGCCTGGCGGGTCTCCGGGCGTGATGGGTGGTTTTTGTTTTATTTGTGCAGCTACTAGGACTTGAATTCAGGGCCTAGGTGCTGTCCCTGTGCTTTTATGCTCAAGGGTAGTGCTCTACCGTTCGTTCAAACAGCCACTCCATTTTCTACTTTTCACTGGTTAATTGGGGAAACGGGTCTCAGGGACTTTCTTGCATCGAACCAGGATGCTCAGATCTCAGCCTTCTGAATAGCTGGGATTACAGGTGTGAACACCAATGAGGAACATGGCTGTGTGATATGAGTTTTCTCAATCCTGCCAGACATTCTGACAAGAATTACCCCCACGGCTGGGAAGGTGGCTCAGTGGTAGAGTGCTTGCCTTGCATGCATGATGAGGCCCTGAGTTCGATTCCTCAGCACCACATAAGCAGAAAAAGCCGGAAGTGGCGCTGTGGCTCAAGTGGTAGAGTGCTTGCCTTGAGCTGAAGAGCTGAGGGACAGTGCCCAGGCCCAGAGTTCAGGACCCATGACTGACAAAAAATGATAATAACAATAATAATAATTACCCCCATACAGAGGAGGGAAGAGAGGCTCAGGAAGACCCCCGTTCAAGATCATAGAAAAGAGTTCAAGATCATAGAAAAGAACCCATTGGGATTCTACCCACAAATCTGGAGAAATGTAAATCACCTGCGATGACCCCCCTGTTAAAGCAGGGAAGGAGGGCAGTGAGTGTTGCTCAAGTGGCAAAGTTCTTGCATAGCAAGTTGCAAAGCACTGAGTTCAAACCCCAGTACTACAAAAAAAAGGGGGGGGGGAGTGAGAATTGTGAGTTGTGTAGTTAGAAGTGAGGGTGCAGGTCATGCAGGAAGTGAGATCACCAGGATAGAAAAGACAGACTTGGGAGAAGGAGGGGAGTGTGCTGATACACTGGAGCTTGAACTAAATCAAGCCTTGTGCTCTCCCTTGGCTTTTTCACTCATGCTGGTGCTTTACCACTTGAGCCACACCCCTAATTCAGCATTTTGCTAATTGAAGATGGAATCCCCAGGACTTTTTTCCCCTAGGCTGGCTTTGAACTTCAATCCTCCAAGACTCAGCCTCCTGAGTAGTTAGGATTACAGGTGCAAGCCCCTGGCACATAGCACTGTAGCTAAATTTTGGCCATTTGCAGTACCTCAAAGTATTTGGGTTTGCTTTGAGCCCAAAGGAGGGTGTTGAGCAGTGGAAATAGAGAATTCCCTACCTGCCTCTCCAGATTGGGAGCAGGAAGAGGGATTATAGTGTCAAATAGGGGAGAGGAAATCATTGAAGGACTGTCCCTCCTCCAAAATTACCAGTGTCCTTACCAAAAGGCCTCACGGAGACAGGGACACAGGGTCCCATCTCCCAGGCTCGAGGCTAGGAACACCAAGGACTTGTGACAGCCCCTAGCCAGAAGAAGGACATGGAGGAAACTTGAAACCAAAGAAGGAAACAGCCCTTTTGACACCTTGATTTCAGACTTCAGAACCACGTGACAATGTATTTCCATTGCTTTAGGCTCTGTTCTGGGATACTTTTGTTCTGGCACCCATGCACAGAGAGCTTGGAGGGATCTGGATGAGGATGCCTCAGTAGCCAGGGTTTATTCAAGAAGGGACTGGCTTCCAGAACTATCTTAGGAGAGAGAACAGAGCTCCCAGAGCAAGATGGACAGAAGACAGGGGATTTTCTTGTTTGGCTTGGGGTGAGCAAGCAGACCTCAGGGACAGAGAAGGGTACAGTGGCCAGGAGACAGAGCTGGAGCTAGACCTGCTAGTGGTACCTGAGGGCAGGAAGAGACTCTACTTTCCTCCTCTGAGACACCTTGTGGATAGCAACTGCTTTCCTAGCAAGAAAAACCCACAGGTGCTTGTGGGGCAAAGGCCGGGGGGGAGGGGGGGGGGGTGGGAACATCTGGTACTGATTCTCAAGGATGGGCTGCAGGCTCCGCCCTCCCATTGGCCAGTCTTCTCCAACATCAGTCTGACTTCTTCCATCCCCCACCCCTTCTCCATCCCAGAGTCCTGGGGGCCAGATGCTTGTGGCTGGCCCCAGCAATGTCAAAACCCATGCTGTCCGGCTCCTGACCCTCACCCAGGCCCAGCATTGGTCTGGCCAAACAATTATCTGGATCATCTTGATGGGGCTTAAGCTTGCGTGGGAGCAGATGGGGCATGAGCTGGGGATTTGGGACTGGGGGGGGGGGGGGAGTATCTATCCCCCCATCCACCTTAGCATTTAAAAAGGTTCTCTTTGGTGCAGGACCAGGATAGAGGCCAGAAGAGTAGACAGAGTGCAGGCAGGGCCATCATGGAGCAGGAAGAGAAGGGACAGGAAGGAGGCTCAGAGTCCTTGGGCGAGGTAAGAGGGGACCCACAGCACTCCTCCCCCACCTCCTCCAGCTCCCATGATTGACAAGACTAGTTAATTTGTAGGGCACCTAATTAGCAAGCAAGTCTCCAAGGTCCTCTGACCCAGTTGCCATTGTAGAGAGGTGGGGATGGGCAGAGGGGCAGAGTGCCCACCTCTATTCAAGGCAGAGTGAGGGGCTCTTGGTTCTACACCCCCCCTCCCCCCCAGGAGATGGCAGGTGCTGGAACTTAGCCCTAGTCACCTAGTTTATATTTCAGTCCTAATTCACCCCCGGTTGGGGCCACCCCTGGTCCCAGCCTAGGCCTTGGGAGGTTGTCACTGCAACCTCTCCCTTGCGGCTGCACCACGTGAAGTGGCTGGGCTTGCTGCAGCCCCTGGGGCAGGGGCGGGGGTCAGGATTGAGAAGGAGCCGCATGTCTCATTCAGAACAGCTCTGCAGAGCAGCAGATTGACAAGGACCATGGTGAGAGCCAAGCCAGACAGAAAGGCAGCCCTGGTTGGGGTGGGAGCCAGCTGGCTTGGAGGGCAGGGGTGATGTCCCCACCTGGACCAAATGTATCTGTCTCCAGGCAGGCTCACCAGATCAAGATGGCTTCTTCAACCTGCTGAGCCACGTGCAGGGCGATCGGATGGAGGAGCAGCGCTGTTCTCTACAGACTGGACCCGGCCAGACCCCTGAGAGCCGTGAGCCTTGGCATGGAGGGGGGGCAAGTGGGGCAAGAGTACTGGGGGTGCTCAAGGAGGCCTGTGGGGATAGGGTGGGATCCTCCGGAGTCTTATGTGTGAATTCACACTCGTGTTTCTGTTTCACACAGAGGGTGGCTCCGCGCCTGAGATGGACAGTCTCATAGACATACTGGCCAGCACCCAGGGCCGCCGGATGGATGACCAGCGCGTGACCATCAACGCCCTGCCTGGCTTCCAGCCCATTGGCCCCAAGGTAGGTGATGTTTAGCCATCTGCCAGGCTGCCCTCTCTAACGCTGCTCCCCAACCCTGACCAGGAAGGAATAGGGCCTCACCTCTCCATCTGTGCATCATTTGCCCTGAATTCAGATGGGAAGACTAAGGTGCTGACAGGGCTGAGGGAGGCTCAAGGTCATACAGGGGCCATGCTGGAGTCAGAGCTGTGGTTGGAACTTGTAGTTCTTGCTCTCACATCTGAAGGGTTCAGGGAGGCCAAAGGAGAAAACAGGCCCCTTCCTGGGTTCTGATTGAGCCCCCTAGGGAGAGTCTGAAACCCACCACTGCACACCCAAAATCATCCTACATGTCAAATAAAGGTACACCCAGAAAATATCCTATTGCCAGGTGTCCGGTGCTCGCACCTGTGATCCTGGCTACTCCCAGGCTAAGATCTGAGGATTGATATTCAAAGTCAGTCGGGGTAGAAAAAGTCTGTGAGACTCTTAGTTCCAATTAACCACCAAAAAAGCCATCGCAGAGTTGTGGCTCAAGTGGTAGAGAGCTAGCCTTGAATGAAAAAAAGCCAAGTGAGAGCACAAGGCCTAGAGTTCAAGCTTCAGTGCTGGAACCATAAAAAGAAGGAAAAGGAGGAGGAGGAGGAGGAGGAGGAGGAGGAGGAGGAGACGGAGGAAGAGAGATAGAGAAAAGGGAGGGAAGGAAGGAAAGGGAAGGAAGGAAAGAAGGAAGAAAGGGAAAAGGAAGAAAGAGAAATTGTTTGTGAGGACAGAGGAGTGGGACCCAGGTCCCACGTATACCCTCTCTTGAACCCTTTTGCCACCTCTGGCCTGTACTCCCTATAGTGCCTCCCTCTGTCTGACCCTTCCTTTGATCCACAGGATGGAATGCAGAAACGAGCTGGGACCCTCAGCCCTCAGCCCCTGCTCACCCCTCAGGACCCCGCTGCTCTTGGCTTCCGCAGGAACAGCAGTCCCCAGCCCCAGACACAAGCCCCTTGAGGGCCCGAGTTGATCTGGGCCTCTCTGGGCCCCTGAAAAACAAACAATAAAAACATTTGCACACCAGGAACCAAGAACTGAGTATGTGTTATTTTGGCAGCGGCAGCCGGGGGGGGGGGGGGGGGGGGGGCGATTTAAGGAGGCCTCAGGAGCTCTGCTGGGCAGAATGAAGGAGTTTCTCTTCCCGCTGCTTCCGTAACCGATCCTTGAATCCTTCTAGCTCTTGACGCTAAGGAAGAGGATTAGATGGGATGTCGAGGAGAGGGGGGGGGGGGGTCACATCCTCAGGTTCTGGACCAACACTTCCCATTACCCTGCCCCTGGCATCAGAGTTTAGTATTTACACTGGGAGTCCTGTGTCAGTTACAACCAAGGAATAAATGAGATCAGCTTCATCTTTCAGGAGGGCAAGAAGGAAGTTATTTGCCTGTCTACTCTCAATTCCCTACTGATGGCTGAAGGGGATTTTTTTTATTTGAAAGCCCTCATAGCCATAGCAACCCATTTCCCTCCCTGTCTCCATGGAAAGGAAAATTAGGGTACTTACCTGGCTTTCCTTCTCAGGGGGCCACAGCTCCCTCTATGGGGGAAAAAAGTCACAGATGGGGGCAAGAATCAGGAACAGCCAGAGCCCCCCATACCCAGGGCAAGGTTGGCTTATGGAAAGCAGACAATGGTCACCAACGGCATGATTGCCCCATGCCCTCTGGAATGAACCAATGAAAACTCTTTTTATGCCCACCTTACGTAGTATGACAGAGTCCTCAAACCACTCGGCCTGATTGGAGACCCAGAACATAGCCACGGGGAAAGTGAGGTACAGTACCATCTGCAAAGGCAAGGGGTGGGTGAACAGAGTCTAGAGGACAGACACATCCCCTTGTCCGTAAGTGCCACCACCATCATGACAGGAGGTTGACACCGTAAAGCCTGGCTCTCAGAATGTTGGAGGCTGGGTAGCTCTAAGTCTCCCTCTTAAAGAAACATACACAAGTCTCAGCAGCACAAGAGCACCTACAAAGACACCTTCCCTGAGATCTCCTTAGATACCCCTGAATCAGATTCTAGGAGCACCCCCAAGCCCCTCTAGCCCTAAGCCAATGAGACTCCCCATCAGAGGCACACGCCTGCCCACCATGAAGCTAGAGATTTCCCCAAGGTCTCAAGCCCTCCTTCCTCTAGACGCCCCCCCACACTTCAGCTCACCCCTCTGTGAAGTCCTTCCTCCCGCCATCCCTCATGGGTTTCCCAAACCCAGAAGCTGCCCTCCAAGCTCCTTCAGTCTAGCGCTCCTCTTTCGGGTTTCCAACTGTAAATGTCCCTCCCAGATCTCGAGTGCTTTCTCTACGGGGGTCCCCCGCTCTCTGAAGCACCCCTTTCCACGGCCTCATCCGCAGATCTAGGAACAGCTGCCACCTAAGTTATTTCTGGGATCACTGACCCGAAACACCTCCAACTTCACCCCCATCTTCGCATCTCAGGGTCTCGAGGCTACTTCCGCCCAAAGCCGACCCTCAAACAAGACAGCGCTTCATTGGTGTTGCAACGGAACCACTCTTAAAAGCTGATTGGTCGAAGACGCCTTGATGACGTCATCTTCAGGCGCCTCTTCCCAGCTTCCGGTCTTTGGCTACGCCTGTGGGTGGTGATGGGGGCGGGGAGAGTCAACAACGCGGTCAAAGCTGTCAAGAAAGGTGCAGCCAATAGGAAACGAGTCTGTTTCTCAGGGGTCGGGGCTTAAGTGAGAGACGTCATTAGCGCGCGACTTTTGCCTGTGTCTGGAGAACCAGGAAAATGGTGGTGATGGCGCGACTCTCGCGGTCCGAGCGGCCGGACCTGGTCTTCGTAAGTCCGCAGCGGGATACAGGGGTGGCTTACGCGCCGAGGGATTAAAACCTGGATTCAGCCGAGGGTCTGAGCCTGGCAGTCCGTGGCTTTAAGCTAAAACTGATTACCAAGGCCGGGGGTGGGGGTGGGGTGGGGGGGATGTGCCTACATGTCCTGTCTAGGAGGAAGGATCTGGTGCCAGACTTAGATACCTCGAAGCCCGAGGAAATATCAGCTGTCGTGGGCAAAGACCCGGAGTCTCTGGTGGGGTCGTAAATGGGATTGGGGTGGAAGGAAATGGCACGACTAGGGTCTTTACCTGTAGGCAAAGAACTGGTAGGATTCTGGCTTATGGGGCGAGTCCCAGGTGTTCTGGGCAGTCGTTCAGACCGTTCAGGTTTCTGGGGTTAAGGCTTGGTGACCCCGAAGTGTGGTGAAGAGATCTCATGATATGGTGCTTGTCTAGTGATGGCCAGTTCCTAAATATCGGAAGACTTGGGATCTGGGATTAAAAGGCCTGACATTTTCAGCAGAATCTGGGTGTCCAGAACTAAGGGCCATACTGCTGCTTTGGAGATGAAGGCTTGGTTTCTAATCTCTGTGGCAGAGTTGAGCTATGTACTGGGCAAGTGGGATCCCGAGACACCCCAAATTTGGTGTTTGGAACTGAAATAAAGATCTCATGGTGGGAGGGGGGGGTGGGTGCTGGGAAGGTGGCTCAGTGGTAGAGTGCTTGCCTAGTATGCATGAAGCCCTGGGTTCAATTCCTCTGTACCACATAAACAGAAAAAAAGTTGTGACTCAAGTGGTAGAGTGCTAGCCTTGAGCACAGAGAGGCTCAGGGACAGTGCCTAGGCTCTAAGTTAAAGCCCCAAGCCCGGCAAAAAAAAACCCAAAAATCTCATAGCCTGGTCTGGAATGGAGATGAGTTGGTACCGGAAGACTGAAGGACAGCCAATGGCTTGGTGTTTGAGATGAGCTGTGTTGTGACCAGGGCCCTTGTGTCTAGGAGTCTGGTGATATGGACCAGGCAGTGAACAGTGGGCTTTAAAGGCCAAAGCTCATTTTCTAGATGGTGGTTTTGTGATCTGCATTACAGCCCAAATGACTGAGAGGTCTGATATCTAAGTTGGATGGCAGGCGGGTTTATTGTGAAGGGCAAAGTTTAGAAGCAGCATCTGGTACCTGGCTAACAGTGGGCAGTGGAGCCTAGGATCTTAACACGAGCCTGGAGTTTGGGGGTCATGGGAAGGCACTACATTCAGGCTCTGGCCCTGACAGGAGGAAGAGGATCTTCCTTACGAAGAGGAAATCATGAGAAACCAGTTTTCAGTCAAATGCTGGCTCCGCTACATTGAGTTTAAACAGGGTGCCCCAAAACCCCGGCTCAATCAGCTGTATGAACGGGCACTCAAGCTGCTCCCCTGCAGGTATGAACGGTCTAGTGTCCCATCAACCCCTACCCCTCCTTGTTCATACTCCAATCTATATTAGGTTCCTAGTGATGGCAGGGTGCCCCTGGATGGACTATCACCCGGGCGATCCATACCTGAGTGCACATGCTCTGACTGGTCTCACATCTTCCCTGACTTTCCAATCCTTCCCCCTTTTCCTGAGACTGTCAGCCCCCCTCTTCAGTCCCTTTTTCTATCCATAATTGCCTCCTGGAGCTAGGAAAAAGGTTTTAGGGATCCATCACCTATCAGTGTCTGCTTCCTCCTGTTCCCCAGCTATAAACTCTGGTACCGCTACCTGAAGGCACGTCGGGCACAGGTGAAACACCGTTGTGTGACTGATCCTGCCTATGAAGATGTCAACAACTGTCATGAGAGGGCCTTTGTGTTCATGCACAAGGTGGGAGACTGGGCAGAGTGGAGGGAGCCCCTGAGCTCAGCACAGTTGGGATGGATAATTAGAGTCAGTAGAGTGGATTCTGTCCTGGAGTTGGGAGTTCTGGGTGTTGCTGTATTTATGTCCTGGGTATGTCCAGGCCAGGGAACGCACCCACAGCTCAGGCCTCGCCTTCACACACACTCACACCCCCATTTCCAGATGCCCCGTCTATGGCTGGATTACTGCCAGTTCCTCATGGACCAGGGACGCGTCACACATACCCGCCGCACCTTTGACCGTGCCCTAAGGGCCCTGCCCATCACCCAGCACTCTCGCATTTGGCCCCTGTACCTGCGCTTCCTACGCTCCCACCCGCTGCCCGAGACTGCCGTGAGAGGCTACCGGCGCTTCCTCAAGGTGAGTCTGCCAGGTGGGCCAGTTCCCTGAGTCATTGGGAATGACACTGGCTCATTGGGACAAGATGGTAGTATAGCTGTGGCTCAAGTGGTAGAGTGCTAGCCTTGAACAATAGACGCTCAGGGACAGCACCCAGACCCTGAGTTCAAGTGCTAGGACTGATGAGCGCATGTGTGTGTGTGCGTGAGCACATACACACACACACACACACACACACACACACACACACACACACACACAGTTGCCACTTGCCCAGAAGGAACATCTAATGTAACTGGGCAGACAGGGCTGAGTGTATGAAGCGTACTAAAATGGTAGTAGTAGTGAGAGCCACGGTTCCCAGCAGTGAGCATGGGGAGCACACACTCAGAATTTGTGAAACCCTTTTTACAGTGCTGTTTTGGGGGTGGCGCTTATGACAGAAACAAGTCCTAGACAGTGCAGACTAGACTATCAGAGGCTAAACTGGACACGTCAGGACTGGACTTAGATGAGTAGGGTCAAAGCTTTTCTAGAAAAGAGGGCAAGATTGAACCAGTCAGGATTGAGGCTGGGCCACCGGGAAGCTGGGGCTGGGTCGGAATGGCTGGCCCAGGAACTGGTGGGTGGATGGTGGATAGTGGCCCAGAGCCACAGGATCCGGATGGAGGTGTGGTCCTGTACCCCACTGACTCCCAGCTGAGTCCAGAGAGTGCCGAGGAGTACATCGAGTACCTCAAGTCGAGTGACAGGCTGGACGAGGCCGCCCAGCGCCTGGCCACCGTGGTGAATGATGAGCGCTTTGTGTCCAAGGCTGGCAAATCCAACTACCAGGTGGGCCTGCGGGTGAGTGGGCAGTGGGTGGTCCCCCCTCTGGGATGGAGACTGAGAGTCCCCTGTTGTCCTGCAGCTGTGGCATGAGCTGTGCGACCTCATCTCCCAGAACCCAGACAAGGTGCAGTCCCTCAATGTGGACGCCATCATCCGCGGGGGCCTCACCCGCTTCACCGACCA